AAACTCTGCAAGACAGAAGGGAGTGGAAGGACATATTTAAAGTGATGAAAGGGAAAACCTGCAACCAAGATTACTCTACCGAGCAAGGATCTCATTCAGATTCAACAGAGAAATTAAAACCTTTACAGACAAGAAAAAGGTAAGAGAATTCAGCACCAACAAGCCAGCTTTACAACAAATGCTAAAGGAATTTCTCTAGGCATGAAACACAAGAGAAGGAAAAGACCTACAATAACAAACCCAAAAGAATTAAGAAAATGGTAATAAGAACATACATGTTGATAATTACCATAAATGTAAATGGATTAAATGCTCCAACCAAAAGACATAGACTGCCTGAATGGATACAAAAAAAAGGCCCATATACCTGCTGTCTACAAGAGACCCACTTCAGACCTAGAGACACATACAGACTGAAAGTGAGAGGATGGAAAAAGATATTCCATGAAATGGAAATCAAAAGAAAGCTGGAGTAGCAATTCTCATATCAGACAAGATAGACTTTAAAATAAAGACTATTACAAGAGACAAGGAAAGACACTCCATAATGATCAAGGGATCAATCCAAGAAGAGATTTAAAATTGTAAATATTTATGCACCCAACACAGGAGCACCTCAATACATAAGGCAAATGCTAACAGCCATAAAAGTGGATATTCACAGTAACAAAATCATGGTAGTGGAGTTTAACACCCCACTTTCACCAATGGACAGATCATCCAAAATGAAAATAAATAAGGAAACACAAGCTATAAATGATACATTAAACAAGATGGACTTAATTGATATTTATAGGACATTCCATCCAAAAACAACAGAATACACTTTCTTCTCAAGTGCTCATGGAACATTATACAGGATAGATCATATCTTAGGTCACAAATCAAGCTTTGGTAAATTTAAGAAAATTAAAATCGTATCAAGTATCTTTTCTGACCACAATGATATGAGACTAGATATCAATTACAGGAAAAAAACTGTAAAAAGTACAAACACATGTAGGCTAAAGAATACACTACTAAATAACCAAGAGATCACTGAAGAAATCAAAGAGGAAATAAAAAAATACCTAGAAACAAATAGCAATGAAAACACAATGACCCAAAACCTATGGAATGCAGCAAAAGCAGTTCTAAGAGGGAAGTTTATAGCAATACAATCCTACTTCAAGAAACAAGAAACATCTCAAATAAACAACCTAACCTTACACCTAAAGAAATCAGAGAAAGAAGAAGAAAAAAACCCCAGAGTTAGCAGAAGGTAAGAAATCATAAAAATCAGATCAGAAAGAAATGAAAAAGAAATGAAGGAAATGATTGCAAAGATCAAAAAAATTAAAAGCTAGTTCTTTGAGAAGATAAAAAACGGATAAACCATTAGCCAGATGCATCAAGAAAAAAAGGGAAAAGACTCCAATCAATAGAATCAGAAATGAAAAAGGAGAAGTAACAACTGACACTGCAGAAATACAAAGGATCATGACAGATTACTACAAGCAACTCTATGCCAATAAAATGGACAACCTGGAAGAAATGGCCAAATTCTTAGAAAAGTACAACCTTTCAAGACTGAACCAGGAAGAAATAGAAAACATAAACAGACCTATCACAATCACTGAAATTCAAACTGTGATTAAAAATATTCCAACAAAGAAAAGTCCAGGACCAGATGGCTTCACAGGCTAATTCTATCAAACATTTAGAGAACAGAAAACACCTATCCTCCTCAAACTCTTCCAAAATATAGCAGAGGGAGGAACACTCCCAAATTCATTCTACAAGGCCACCATCATCCTGATACCAAAACCAGACAAAGATGTCACAAAAAAAGAAAACTACAGGCCAATATCACTGATGAACATACATGCAAAATTCCACAACATAATACTAGGAAACAGAATCCAACAGCACATTGAAAGGATCATACATCAAGATCAAGTGGGGTTTATTCCAGGAATGCAAGGATTTTTCAATATATGCAAATCAATCAGTGTGATAAACCACATTAACAAATTGAAGGAGAAAACCATATGATCATCTCAATACATGCTTAAAAAGCTTTCAACAAAATTCAACACACATTTATGATAAAAACCCTCCAGAAGGTAGGCATAGAGGAAACTTACCTCAGCATAATAAAGGCCATATAGGACAAACCGACAGCTAACATCGTTCTCAATGGTGAAAAACTGAAAGCATTTCCTCTAAGATCAGGAACAAGACAAGGCTGTGCACTCTCACCACTATTATTCAACATAGTTTTGGAAGTTTTAGCCACAACAAGCAGAGAAGAAAAAGAAATAAAAGGAATCCAACTCAGAAAAGAAGACATAAACCTGTCACTGTTAGCAGATGACATGATTCTATACATAGAGAATTCTAAAGATGCCAGCAGAAAACTACAAGAGCTAATCAATGAATTTGGTAAAGTAGCAGGATACAAAATTAATGCACAGAAATCTCTTGCATTCCTATACACTAATGATGAAAAACTGAAAGAGAAATTAATGAAACACTCCCATTTACCATTTCAACAAAAAGAATAAAATACTTACGAACAAACCTACCAAAGGAGATGAAAGACTTGTATGCAGAAAACTATAAGACACTGATGAAAGAAATTAAAGATGATACAAACAGATGGAGAGACATACCATGTTCTTGGATTGGAAGAATCAACATTGTGAAAATGACTATACTACCCAAAGCAATCTACAGATTCAATGCAATCCCTATGAAACTACCACTGGTATTTTTCACAGAACTAGAACAATAAAATCCACAATTTGTATGGAAACACAAAAGATCCCGAATAGCCAAAGCAATCTTGAGAAAGAAAAACAGAGTTGGAGGAATCAGGCTCCCTGACTGCAGACTATACTACAAAGCTACAGTAATCAAGACAGTATGGTACTGGCACAAAAACAGAAATATAGATCAATGCAACAGGAGAGAAAGCACAGAGATAAACCTATGCACATATGGTCAACTTATCTTTGATAAGAGGCAAGAATATACAATGGAGAAAAGACAGCCTCTTCAATAAGTGGTGCTGGGAAAACTGGACAGCAACATGTAAAAGAATGAAATTAGAACACTTCCTAACACCATACACAAAAATAAACTCAAAATGAATTAAAGACCTAAATATAAGGCCAGACACTATAAAACTCCTAGAGGAAAACATAGGCAGAACACTCTATGACATAAATCACAGCAAGATTCTTTTTGATCCACCTCCTAAAGAAATGGAAATAAAAAGAAAAATAAACAAATGGGACCTAATGAAACTTAAAAGCTTTTGCACAGAAAAGGAAACCATAAACAAGATGAAAAGACAACCCTCAGAATGGCCGAAAATATTTGCAAATGAAGTAACTGACAAAGGATTAATCTCCCAAATACACAAGAAGCTCATGCAGCTCAATATTGAATAAACAAACAACCCAATCCAAAAATGGGCAGAAGACCTAAATAGACATTTCTCCAAAGAAGACATACAGATTGCCAACAAACACATGAAAGGATGCTCAACATCACTAATCATTAGAGAAATGTAAATCAAAATTACAATGAGTATCACCTCACATCAGTCAGAATGGCCATCATCATAAAACCTATAAACAGTAAATGCTGGAGTGGGTGTGGAGAACAGGGAACCCTCTTTCACTGTTGGTCAGAATGTAAATTTATAGAGCCACTATGGAGAACAGTATGGAGGTTCCTTAAAAAACAAATAATAGCACTACCATACGAACCAGCAACCCCACTACTGGGCATATACCTGGAGAAAACCATAATTCAAAAATAGTCATGTACCACAATGTGCATTACAGCACTATTTCGAACAGCCAGGCCATGGAGGCAACCTAAGCATCCACCAACAAATGAACGGATAAAGAAGATGTGGTACATATATACAGTGGACTATTACTCAACCATAAAAAGTAAAGAAACAAAATTGAGTTATCTGTACTCAGATAGATGGACCTAGAGTCTGTCATACAGAGTGAAGTAAGTCAGAAAGAGAAAAACAAGTACCGTATGCTAACATATGGAATCTAAAAAAAATCCAAAAAACAAAAAACGGTTCTGAAGAACCTAAGGGCAGAATTGGAATCAAGACACAGACGTAATGAATGGATTTGAGGACACGGGGAGGGGGAAGGTTAAGATGGGCCAAAGTGAGAGAGTGGCAGTTGCATGGATATATATACACTACCAAATGTAAAATAGATAGCTAGTAGGAAGCAGCTACATAGCACAGGGAGATCAACTCGGTGCTTAATGTCCACCTAGACTGGTGGATAGGGAGGGCTGGAGGGAGATGCAAGAGGCAGATAATGGGATATATTTATATGTATAGCTGATTCACTTTGTTATACAGCAGAAACTAACACACCATTGTAAGGCAATTATACTCCAATAAAGATGTTAAAAAAACAAACAAAAAAACAACATGAGCAGAGGACCTGAAGAGATATTTTTCCAAAGAAGAAAGACATACAGATGGCCAACAGACACATGAAAAGATGCTCAACATCACTAATAGGGAAATGCAAATCAAAATTCCAATGGAAAAAAAAAAGAAAAAACCCACAATGATATATCACCTCACCTCGTTAGAATAGCTAGTATCAAAAAGACAAGAAATAACAAGTGTTGGCAAGGATATGGAGAAAAGGGAACCCTTGTGCACTGTTGGTGGGAATGTAAATTGGTGCCGCCACTATGGAAAAGAGTATGGAGGTTCCTCAAAAAAGTTAAGAATAGAACTACCGTATGATCCAGCAATTCCAATCATGGGTATTTATTGGAAAAAAATGAAATCACTATCTGAAGGAGATATCTGCTCCATGTTCATTGCAGTGTTATTCAAAGCAAATTTTAATAAAACTTTGTTCTCTTTTCTGTTTACAGTACTAGCTTTAATGATTTAAGAAGAAAAAATAGAATATATATTTATGTATTTATGAATTCAAGAGGTCTTTATATTTTACCTTTAAACCAATTGCTTCACTAGTCAAATTATCTTCTTTCTTCATGTTGACACTTGTAGTAACTTTTTTCTGTAGCTGTTTGTGAACGTATTGGCAGATATATTCAAGTGTTTTTTCCCTCTATGATTTTATTTTTATGAAAACTAGCAGGCAGGTACTACACCACTGTGCTGGTTTTCTGTTCATTCCTGAGGACAAGAAAAGAAATATTAATCATTATTTTCTTTGACGTGGAGATTTCACAGCCAGCAAGAACCTTCTTCTTTTAGATTTGTGTACTTTTCTGGGTGGATTCAGAGAGATCGCGCTGGGGAAAAACCCTCTTAAAATAGAGATAGGTAATGTAAGGTGAAGATTTTGATATTCGTTTGACAAAGAGACACGCTCATATTCATGTAGTCAGTCAGCAAGGCAGTGCATGTACATACATGCACACAGCAGAGAAGGAGAAATTCTTTAGAGCAGGCAACTTAGCTATGGAGCTATGGAGATTTTACCTCCCTGTGCGTTAGCCAGTGATCTCTGGATATAGATGCATATTGGAGTAGGAGTTGGTTTGCATATTGACTTCAAAACATCCTCAGAGTTCAGATTTTTTTTTTCAATATCCCCCTATTCACTTTTTGTCTTTTACATTCCTCTTTTCCCCCAAAAGTACAATTAAGTATATATTCCCATTCTCTGGTTAAGCAAAATTTTATTATATATAATTTTTACCCTTTAGATTCTTCCATTAAAATAAAGAGCAAAAAACAATAAATAAAACAAAAGATCAAATCAATTCCTTTTCAGAACTATTATCCAAGTTCTTCTGGTTTAACATTTCTTTAGTGTTTTGGTCTGAATTAAGAATTATAGATGGTCAAATTATAGAATTTTGCACTCATTCATTCTTTTAGCCTAAATATGGATGGTCTTCTATGTGCCTGATATGGTGTAGACTCTGCATATATAATGGCCAGAGAAATAAATACATAAAAGGAACAACATGGTCCCTGCCCTCATTGAGCTTACAGAAATTTAGCTACATACATTAGTTATTTGTGCTTTTGAGATTCTTTGCAAAAACAAGAGTTGAATTTGCTACATTTATAGAGGAGGTCATTATATTTGAAATGTACAGTCTGTAGTTTTGGAGGATAAAGATGAATTTTATGCTAGAGTGTTATAAGATGAAAGCAGGTAACCTGTGGTTCCATGATGAAATTCTTATTTCTTTGAGGAGAGGAGAAGGCAGCTCAGGGCCCCTTCTTTAAGGTCTGGCCAAACTCTAGGATGATGTGATATTTGGGAGGAAAGCATTGTTCTTTGGAGTATTTCCTTAAATAATAAAGATGTCAAGAAAACAGTGGAACAGAAAGAAGAAATAGAAACGAAGAGAAAAGTGTACAAAGAATAAAAGAATGGAGGAAAGGAATGTAAAGAACAAGTTAGAAGAGGTAGGAGGGGAGGAGAAAGAGAAGGAAAGGGGAGGGGAGGTGGGGGAGAGGAAGAGGATGGGGAGAAGGGAAGGGGTTTGGGAAGTAGAGAACTTAGAAATGACTAGTGGTTTCCTGAGACACAAGGAAGGAAAATAACCACTAAAAGAGAATTTTTTCCTTAAAAAAAGAAATAAGTCCACAGAGCCATCCCCTCCTCCATGTTGCCCCCTCCCCTGTGCCCCACTCCTGCCTGCTCTTGTTTGAGGGATTTTCAAAGGAAGCTTAGATCCCCTTGGGCCACTCACCTATCTTTTCTCCAAAGCATCTTACTGGAGGCTGTTGCCCTCTCCTTAATGAACTCTAGAAATTCTGGTTTTGTTAAGTCTTTAGAGAGGAATTATTTCTGACCTAATTCTGAAATACATCTAATTAGTTAAAATAAAAGCAACCTTTTAAAAACATGGCTTCATTAAAATCATCTGATTCTTTATTTAAATAGATTTTCTCTGAATTCCTTCTATGAGGGGAGATGCAACAGAAAAAGATCGGATAGAAAGAATGAACACATTTTAATGAATATCTTTTATTTTGGTAATTAGAATTTATGGAATCACAACATTTAAGTATTGAACGCATGATATTTTTATCTCAAAACCCTGTCTATATATTTTGTTTCTAAATAATTTTTGATGAGAAGCCCATTTGGGAGAAAGAAAAATGCTGTAATGTATGGATGTAAACATTGACCTCTGTGATTTGTACTCAGCGAGGATCCCTACCCAGGTCTGGGTGTGTTGTAGAGTGTCAGGCATGTTACTCAAACTCTAAGGCCAGATGTCTTTCACATGTAAAATGGAAGAATAGCATTTACCTTTTAGGATTATCAGGATTACAGAAAAAATATATGAAGGCATATGGAATGCAAGAAATAAATGGCACCTCTTATTAGGGTGCCTGCCCTGGGTTCTTCCTTTTCTTGACCTTCTAATTCTAACTTTTCTGCTTCTGTTGTCAGTTCTGTGACCTAAGCATTATATCAGCAAGTGTGTTAGACGCATGTAGAATTAGAGTTAACAGCAGTTGAGAGGCTGTTCTAATGGCAAATTTCATAAGTTTTACTCCTTAGAATCCTTGACCTCTATCTATGCAGCTCAAAACTTCTTTTGCCTTTTTCCTGGTACTCAGAGTACAGCAGTCTGTAAGTGGTCTATGCCTCAGTAAAGTATTGCTATAGTTCCAGTGATCCACTGGGAGGTTCTCAGGCTCAAGTGCAAATAGTTTTGCCTTAGAAACTTGGAATCACCCACATTGGGAAATCACCTATTTTTCCATCTGATTAAAGTAGTATTGCAGAGAGATAATGCAGCTCTCAAGAGTAAGTTATGGTTTTTGAATAAAAGTTTTAGCCTGAATAAAAATTTTAGACCCTCCTATGTCTTCCAAGAGGACATTGCCTCAAGATGTCGATTTTATTTTGTAGGGAGACAGGTGACTTTTAATTTGTGTTCCACCTACCTCTACCCTATTTATTTCAAGCAATGTGGGTAAAGGCAGACAGATATTATATACTCCAAACACTATTATATGTATATTATTTTATTTAGAGTTTCTTTTTCATATTCTAGCAGAGAAGGTAGTGCAGGATACCAAACATATATAAAACATGTAAAAGTGTATTTTCTGCTTCTTCCATCTTACTGCGGCTCCCACGAAGCCTCAACATCTTTTAACACCAATGTCCTTCCAGAATTAACCATGTGGTGCATCTCCCTGGCCTGCTCTTCACAACATGACTCTCATTCACTAATTCACAATTTTCCCTGCTCGTCTCTCACATCAAAATTCATTTGTGCTGGGTCCCTTTTATATATTCATATAGTCTTAGCAATGGAAAGACACAACTATCCACCAAAATTAGGAGTTCCTATTATAACAGGGGTGGTCCCTTTTTTTGGTTTCAGTATCCCTTTTATACTCTTAAAAATTATTGAGAACTCCAAAGAGCTTTGGTTTAAGTGGGTTATAGTTATGAAGATTTAACATATTAGAAATTTAAATCTAGACCTATTACATGTTAAGATAAATAACATTTTTATGAGGAATAACTGTGTTTTCTAGAAATTTACAAGAGTGGCACTGTTTAACATATGGATACTCATATCTGCTTCTGTATTCAATCTGTTGTATTATTTCATTCAAATAGCCCCTGGAGAACCCCAGTGTACATGCATGACAGAATGAGAGTGAAAAAGCCATATGACATCTTATATTTGTATTAGTTTTCTACTACTGCTGTAACAAACTACTACAGAGTTAGTGGCTTAGAAAAATTAAAATGTATTATCTTATAGTTCTGGGGATCAGAAATACAAAATGGGTGTCACTGAGCTAAAATCAAGGTGTTGGCAGGGTTGTGTTGCTTCTGAAGGTTCTCGGGGAGAATCTGGATTCTTTGTCTTTTCCAGCTTTGAGAGGCCACCAACATTCCTTGGCTATGTCCTCTTTCCATCTTCAAGGTCAGCAATGTTGGGCTCAGTCCTTCTCATACTGTCATCTCTCTGGGCCCCTCTTCAGATTCCCTCTTCCACTTTTATGGACACTTGTGATTACATTGGACCCACCCAGATAATCCAGCATAATCTCTTTATTTTGAGGTCCCATGATTAACACCTTTAACTCGTTACAGTCTTAATTCCTTTTGCCATTAACGTAACATATTCTCAGGTTCCTGAAATTAGAACATGGACTATTATCCAAGTTCTTCTGGTTTAAAATTTCTTTAATTTTAAAGAAATTGGTTTATTGGTGTATTGGTTTCCCAATGGACATCATTGGGAAAGCATTATTCTGCCTACCACAGTATTATTATTAAATTCATTTTGACCTCATAGATCCCCTGAAAATGTCTCAGGGAACTTCAGGGATTCCCAGATCCTTCTTTGAGAACAATTATTCTGTGATATCCCTAATAGGTAGCATGTGCTTGATAAGGTACTTCATAAGGCAGCCTTTTTTTAAAGAAGTAGGTAAAATTTAAAACTTCTTAAAAATTTGTCTTCTGTAACTCCCACCCAGTAATGCTCTTCTATTCCTTGGAGCTACAAAGAGTAAATCTACTCCTTCTACAATGTTAACAGACTTTCAAATATTTAAAAAGTATTATTGATTTGTCATTGAGTCATATGATTTTTCTCTTCATGTTAAACATGGACAGATCCTTCTTAGAAAAGTTGTGAAAACATCAACAATGATAATATTTGTCCAAACTCTACCTATCCTTCAAGGTTCAGTCTAGTGTCAAATTTTCCATAAACTTCCTCAGATGCCTCTGATAAATTATTTTTGGTTTCTCTGCTCTTCATTGCTCATTACAAGAAAATTTATTTATATTCGGGGCTTCTCAGTGTGCTAAGATTGTAGATTTCTTGAGGGCAAGGTCTTTCACTCATTTCTTCTTACATTACACACAGTTTAGTATCTACTGGGGAAGGAGCTCACTAAATGGTCTTGAATGAAAGGATAAAAGAATTGGAGCATGGGTCCCAGCTGGAGCTCGTGTTTACCCATGGTCTTAGGAATGCATGGCATGGTTGAGGGTTCCTTGCAGGAGGCCTGAGAGCAGAGGTTCCTGACGGTGGGGCATTCATCCCAAGGGAAAGGAACATAGGGACACACTCTGATGTGAGGAATTTGCCACAGGTCTGAGGGAGGAATGACTGAGCATAACACAGTATCTGCCACTGGGTGTATTGAGTGCTGGAGAGGAAGGACTCAGAATGAAAATGGAAGCACTGTTTCCTGAAAGTCTCTACAAGAATAGGTAATATAGTGCAGCACCATTCCAAGACCCACATTCTAGTATCACACGATCACACAGCACACAGCTTCTCTGAGGCACAGACTTGTATCATCACAGCAGGAACTGCTCAAGACTTCTGCCCAAGCTCTCTGAGCAATGGCATCTTTAGCAGAGACAGATTGTTAAAACTTTTCCTTGACCAACACTTCCCTATTTCCCTCACCACTCAGCCCCAGTGACCCCCATTCTGCTCTATGCTTCTAAGAGTTCAACATTTTTAGGTGCCACATATGAGTGAGATGATGCAGTATTTATCCTTCTCTGTTTGGCTTATTTCACTTGGCATAATGCCCTTGAAGTCCATCTCTTTTGTTGCAAATGACAGGATTTCCTTCTTTTTTAAGGCTGAATAATATTTGTATATATTTTTATATATATCACATATTCGATGTCCCTTCATCTGTTGACAGACATATCTTGGATATTGTGAAAAATGCTGCAATGAACATGAGGGTGCAGATGTCTCTTTGAGATACTGATTTTATTTCATTTGGAGTTTCAGATATATAGGATGACTAATTTCTAGAGATCTAATGTACAGTAGGGTGGCTACAGTTAACAATACTGTATCGTATACTTGAAATTTGCTAAGAGTAGAACTTGTTCTCCAAAAAAAAAAAAAAGTAACTATATGAGATGATAGATGTGTTAGCCAGCTTGATTGTGGTAAAAAAAAATTCATATTGAATACACACATATATCAAAATATCACACTGTATACCCTAAATATGTACAAATTTAACTTGTCAATTATACCTCAATAGAGCTGAGGGAAAAAGCTCTTCACGAATCAACAGAAATATTGATTTTGATAATATAAATGAGAGCAGAGGCAAAATAGAGCAGCAGTAGCTTCCTTACCTCCTGAGGGAAAGCATTTGCTCCTCTTCTGAACTCAGGCAGGGAGGCCGGTCCTGAGGTGGTCATTCACTGTTATCAGAAATAAAAAGCAACAAGACACCTTGGTGCAGGGAGGAGGGTGAAGCCACCATATGATAGCTCAGGAGCTAGTGCTTATCTTGAAAGACATAATCTCTACTGAAGGAATTGGGCTTCGAGTGGGGCATGGAGGCCCTGGAATTGTGGGTAGGGTAGAGCCAGGGGAAAAGTTTTGTTTCGCCTCGTGTTGTTTACCCCCAGAATGGCGTGGCCCACGTTTCATGAACTGCAGCACCCCATCCTGTCTTGACTTCCTCACAGTTTTACTTCTCAGAGGGAGAACCTTGGTCTCCCCATCTCCCACTCATTTCTGCTATTATAGAAGTCCCTGAAGTGTTGAAATGATTCCCCAGTTGATGAAATCTAGCACTTTGCCATAGGGCTAACACTTAGCTTCTTCTGCAAACACTTGAGTCTGCTCTTATTAGAATCTTTTTTTTCTTGAAATCATCTCTGCTTACTGTTAACAACTTACAAACAATTCAGATATATTAGCTTCAAACTTATTAGAAAGATACATAGTGTGGAAAAGCAAATAAATATTGTAATTCATTCCTTGTTTGTTCATTAAAGAAATCAGATAAACATGCTGATCTTAGTATTCTGATGGTGTAAGTATATATGTGGCACCAATTTTCCTAATGACCCCAAAATTAAGTAATCATGTTCTCATCCAACAATTGTATAACACTCATTTTGTTCCAAAGTTAGAGATATCAATAAAAGCACATGCTGCTCTGCTCCAGATGAGAACATTGGTTTCGTTTTCCTACTCTCCACTTCCAGGCATCTGTATCTGCACTCCATCCTAAATTACTGGGGTCTTTACCACTCACTGAGTGCCTCCCATGGCAAGTACTAAGGTGTTCCCGTCCACACTGGCCTTTGCTGTGGTGTAGGTTGTCTTCCAGACTGAACATTGGGTGATGTGCTCTGATATCAGCTGACATGTGATTAGTCATACCTGGTTTTCAAACACTGTGACTGAAATGCCACTGTTACTGGCATTGGTGAATAATATCCATGGTCACTGCCGTTGTCTTGGGTCACAAAGTCATTTAGTGTCTTACTGACACCAGAATCCTGTGGGTTCCCTAACTCATTTCCAACCAGCTTTTTGGTTTCTCTACCTTACTACACTGAGTCAATCTGCCAAGATTTTTTTTTCTGTTATTGGTATTTGACCACCTGTATTGGACTTGAAGCTTGACTCCTAGGCTTGCCCTCTCTCAGGATAGAAGTGTGGGTGAAAAATGTTGCCTGCTATATCAGTAAATAAAGGATGTTTTGGCCATCAAGCTGTCATCCACTGCAGCCACCCCCCAACGGTGCACCCTGAGGGGATTCAGAATAGAAAAAAAACCCAGGATACTGGCCCTAGATAGTTAAGGAGCATATCAAAAGAATGATTTCAATGAGCCCAGACTCTTGCATCTTCCCATACACAGAAAAGTGCTAAATTCATTAACTTGAGATACCTGGTTTTTCTTTAAGAGTAATCTTCTGATGTTCTGACTACATGTTTTTTGTTGCAAAAACTCCTATTTGTCCTGGCTTCTCCCTTTTACCTCCTCAGAGTAATCCCTCAGAGCCATCTGACAGGCTGTCTCCCAGGCTTAAGTCCTCAGTTTGTCTACCAAATAAAACATAATGCTCAACTGTTAGGTTGTGCATTTATTTCAGTCAACAGAAGCTAGGCACAATTACTCTCTTCTGTAAGATTTACCCTAACACCATGAGGGTTTCTGTGGTGTTCAGGAAAATGTGCCGCTCAGATATCAGACGTTGGAGAGTATATATTCACCCACAACTCTACCTGTTATGCTCAGAAATGCATCACTGTGGTTGAGTGAGGCCACACTTCCCAGGGACTGTTCCCAGTCACTGAGGAGCATGGCCAGTATATGAAGGTCAGGAAACTACCTGGAAGGAACAGCATTCATCTGATGGGTGACTTTGGCTCAAGGACTTCCTGTAGGCTTTTCCAAAACCTTCTAAGAAATGTACTGTAGTCTGCATCCTCTCTCCTTCCCTCCTTCATAGAACTCAGACCTTTATCACAGTCTGACATCTCTCCTGGCTTCCTCCCCACTTTCTCTCACCAGTGTTTTACCCAATAAATCTCTTTCATGTCTAATCCCATCTTGACATCTGTTTCTTCAAAGTCTAGAACTACAACAATTTAGAACAACTAAAAATTTCATCCTCCTGCCTTATTTCTCAGGGGTACTATATCTAAGATTGAAATCTTAGCCATATCTCTTCTAATTCCCCTCTTCCTACTTTCTAATTGACCTTTTCTTTTAGATGGGAGAATGGCTAACATTATCATTTTGTAAACACTTCAATTTTATTGCTTATTTTTGAAACTCTAAAATCTAGCTGTTAGCTTTCTTCTTACTTAGAGAAATCAAGTATTTGGAGTTTCAGAAAACAAAATCTCTAGCCAAACATATCAAACAAAAATCTCTTTTCTTCCCACAAAACGTGGCTCTTACTTTTGCTTGCATACCATGTGTTCAACAAAAGTTCATTCAGAAATTCAGTCTGTCCTTTGGTTTTAAGATGTGTTCACTCTCCTTTCGTAACAGTGCAATGAAAAAAGCTATCATTGATAATTAAGTGGTGGGAAAAAGGAATTGTGGGAAAAGAACATAAAGGAATAGAAAATAACATATCATTTAGAATTAAAAATCACTAAAGTATGATTTAATATCATTTAGCATCAAAAGACTTTTTATTCTCAGCTAGGCTCCTCCCTTTCTCATGATTTAGGACCCATGAGGAGGGACTGAGAGTTCTGGGCTGGAAATAGTTTAGTTATAGGAAGAGATTACATCTATTTTTGCAATATCACATCTATTTATTTTGGGGCATCAGCCCAGAATTTCAAAAATTCTTGTGTACCATGAACTATTACAAACCCTACATGAGAACTGGAGCAAGTCAGCTGGAGTCAGGACTTTGACCCTGGGAGAGACGGTGAATGCTAGATGAGCCAGATTTTGACTTTATAAGAGTGGACTAAATAATATTTAGCTTGAAAATATACTGCAGAATGGTTTAAATCCCCAAGAAATAATCAACAGATATACAGAAAGTGGGGGAAGGGCTCAGTGTCGTGAAAAATTAAGGCTTCTGCCTTGGACTGTGAAGTTGGAAAAGATTTGAAGCCTTTCTTTAAAAGAAATGACTGATTCCAATGATATTAAGAAGGTTTCATTTAATGGCTTATTAGTGGGCTGCAGAAAAACAGAGTCCTAGTCCTAAAACAAAATCTGCAGCTAGACCAGCCAGCAGCTTGAGCCCTAGACATACAGAAGTGTCCCTGGCAGAAAATAATAAGTTGAAATTCATTTGGAAAAATATTAGCTAATGCAGTTGAAAAAAAAACACACCACAGATATTCTGATGGGAAAATACACCTAGTGAGTAATATTTCCAAAAAAGCCCGTGAGTGTGCACACAGGATGAATTCTGCAGTCTGATACCACAATAAGAAAGACTAAATAATTTTTAGATGTGGGAGGCCTAGAAAAAGCATTAGCTTCATATGCTCTGACCCTGAGACTCTGGGTAGTAAATACAGCCAGGTGAGGTCACTCCTCGAATTCATTTACTTTGGCTTATTCCAGGTCTGAATAGACGGAAATTAATTGGCAAGCGTTCAAGAGTGAGCCATGACAAAGGTGGGGGAGGAGGTGGATGAAGAAGATAGAATGTGGAGGAGACAGAATATTACCAGGAGCTTCTCCTAAGCACCAAGAGTGAATACTATGCTGCATAAACACTTCGTCAGAGACTGATTTATGGTGGAACCATTTAAAGTGACTCATACTCTAGAATGTGGTGGTCATTAACAATATGTAACCCGCAGTCGACACACTCAGAAAGTAGCCTTATCAAGACAGAGCTCTGTAGGAGATACACTTATCCGCTTTTATTCATTTGGGGCACCAGAATTAATCATAATAGGTAAGGTTCTAAACATCCCCAGGCACTGTCTAATTCATTACCGGGAGGAGGTTCTTTAGACTGAGACTTTAAAAACAACACAATGATACCACACTATATATATTTTACTGACCTCAACAAAACACTAAGGATCTATATATTGCACAATATCTGTACACTACATGTATCTATGTATCTATCATCTATCTATGTTTCTATTATCTATCTACCAACCATATATTTTGATATCTATTTACTAAGGAATTAGAAATAACTCATAACTAGCATGATCAAGAGAATAATTTGCATCCTTGCCTGATGTAGATCCTAGTCTCTGCGTCTCATGATGTGTCCCTCCTGAGAAGGATGTGCTGGGCTCTCCGTTTCTTAATGAAAGCCTTTTGGATTAATCCTAGGAAAAGCATACTGAATATAGGCTGTGTTCTTTGGAGGTGAGCTGATAAATTTCCTTATAGCAGAGATTTTAATATGCTTTGGAGATACTGTTTTTTTTAATGGGAATACACCTGTTAATTTTCTTTCATAAAATTAAATTAATTACACATAACTTTGTTTTTAAAATTATCCTTTTGGAAACATGTATATTCTATATATTAAAAAAGTCTCTGACATAAACTAAAATAATTAAATTCTACTAACTTTGTCATTTTTACATCCTCAAGAACCTCACAAAAAATTATGTGAATCACCTTGAAATGTCACCTCCATATCAAATAGTCAAATAGGAGCCTAGAAAGATTAAATTACTTCCTGCTTTAATACTTTGGTTTGTCTTGATAAATACCAACCTGTGCAGTTACCTACGATGGCTCCCTTCTCAGCTGGTTGGGAAAAGAGAGGAGTCCAATAGAGCCTCCTTAGAGCTACTCTCCTCTTCAGGTTCTGATTCCTGTCCTCACCCCTTTTCCTCTCCAACTTTCCCTTCAAACCCTCTTGCTCTGATCTGATTTCCCCAGCTTCCGTACTATCACTAATCTAAAAAAACTAACATTCATTTAATGGTTAATAAGAATATA